CGGGTGCCGCATCCTTGGAGACATTCAAAGTCAGGCAGGATGGGGCTCTGAGCACTGATCTACCTGTAGATGTCCCTGTTCATTTCAGAGGAGTTGGACTGGATGGCCTTTAAAGGTCCCTTCCAATTCAGACAGCTCTATGATCCTCTGTGGAATTCCATGTGGAGAATTGAGTGGTTGTGTACTTGGGTGAAACTTTCCTCAGAATAAGAATGCTAGAGCAAGAATTAGGAAAAAAAAAAAAAATGAAGATTGTGACTCAAATGAATTCAGAGACCTTTGAAATATGTAAGTCCAAATGACTTCATTATGTGTTCCTGTGGACAGTTGTTTATTTTGCTTAATGTTTGTTTATTAGCAAACTTCTTGGCAAATGGAAACACTGTGGAAATTCCACAAGTCCTGAAGGTCCACTAAAATTTACAGAAACGCTGAGCTGAGCAGTGGGACTTTGTTCCATTGTTACTGTGTGAGTAAACATGAGTTACTGCCATCCAAAGGAGGATGAGATAGTACTGAAGATGCATTGCGATAAAGGCTGTGCATACACGTGTAAACCTAACTAAGTTATTAACTGTCCTGGTGGTTAAATTAAAGCTGTAGTAAGATTCTCAGAACTTGGAGTGTGTATCTGGAAAGAGAAGGCAAAAGTTCTCAGCAGTTCTACATTGCCAAGAGCAGTGTTAGAGCTGGGTACTACTGAACTCCATCATTCCTGTGTCAGCTTGAACGTCTTACAGAAGAGCAAACAATATTGTTCAGTGTGCACAAAGATGTGTTTAGCTGATCCTCTGTGAAGATTTTATTTTTCATGAAAATTAAGTTGCAGAAAGTGAAAGAAAGGAATGAGTTAACTGAAACTATTATTTTTAATGCAACCAGCCTCCTTTCCAATTCCTGTTCATAAAATATTTTGCGTTTCTTTATGTGTTAATTTAATATCAATTTTTTTTTTACGAAAGCAGAAGATTAAATATTTGTTTTTTAAAAGCTCACTTAAAATGAACTCCACAAAGCTTCTGATGTAAAAATCCTATCGTGATCTTCTGTATAAGTTTATAATAGCAGCCTTTTTTCCTCTGTACGCAGTTCATGCAAGAACTTGAATTTCATATTAACATTCCCTCATTTCTTTTGTGACTGTGTCTCTTTGGTTAGACTATGTCTAACATAAATCCACTTGAACTTTATCTCCTTGTGGAAATGCGTAGTATTTTAGGTAACAAGGTTAGATGTGCAAGCCAAACCAGACAATTTTGGCACGCTAAGTGCTTTTCAGAAAATGCATCCCATGAGAGCTGAAATACTACAAAGGTTTGTATACTTAAGGAATAGGCTATTCATGCAATATATTGAGTTTGGATTTGGTTGGCTGTGAGTTATAGTATTAAAAAATCGATTTATTTTACTCTGCCAGAGAAAAAAATAGCTGAAATATTGAATTTGTTAGCTGCTACGTTTTGAATTAACTTCTAGACTGAAGGTTAAATTCTATGCTTCTTAAACATGTGTAATCTAATTAGCATTTGTGAGATTTACTGGGATGAATTTTGCCCTTGGCATATGCAATTGCAAACGGAAAGGCTGTGGGCTGCAGGCTGCTGGGGGCAGACAGTCTGCCTGTGGTGGACATCCGCAGAGGGAAGTGCCTGCATCTTAGCTCCCGGGGGGCTGACATCAGCTGACACGGCTCCTGAAATTGCCAGAGTATTTATTATTACAGGAAAGTTTCTTAGTTGCTAAAAATAAGGAGATACTGGCTTTAAAGGGAAGGAGATGCTTCTTGAAATTGTTGTTCAGTTGACAAAGAGAGGCATAATCTAAGATCACTGCATTGCTGCAGTATTTTACAGAAGTCTAAATTCAAAAAAGAAAGTAAAACTGGTTTTTGACAGAATTGCAGAAAGTGTTATGGGACGGACTTAGCAGAGGTTATTTCTGTAGCCTTGATCAAAATCTAGATGAATATTAAGACTGGTAATTAAGTCTGTTGACTCTTGTTTCATGAGGTGATAAGTGTCATTTCCATAATTTTTTCTTGATGTAAATCGATAAACTCTCATCCTTTGGAAATATGCTCTCATCGGGGTAGATGAGAAGCATTACAGAACTGCTAGTCTTTTTTAATGCAGCTATCCAATTTATTTGTCCAATATACGTTCCTTGGATTTTATATGGTTTTAGCAGATAAATCTTAGTTTTCTTTGATAGCACATTTCTTGAAATGCCAGTACTCCTCCTTTTTATGTCATCTGTTAAGACGTGTGATAATTGTCAGAATTGTCACAAGCTTCCTCATTGCTAGTTGTCTACTGTTGGCCAGCAAGATTTAGCATTCGCCTTCCTTTCACAGCATGAGGGCAGGGTATGGACTAGAGCTCTTGTCACATTTTATAGCAGCTCAGTACATTTAAGCAGAACTTTAAATCAGTTATTTTACAAGGAAGCATTCAGTCACCTCACTGTTACTGGGAAATGTTTGGTGAAATAGTGGCGTCCACAGCCTCCATTTAAATGAACAGGCCTTATTCAGTGTGGAATAGTATCAGCCTGTTTAGTGCTTTCATCTTTATTTCACTGATAGTAGGCAATGGGTTAGTCATTTAGTACCATTGTTGGCTTTTTATTTAGTTTATGTACAAGTCCTTTCTTGAACTTTGTCAAGAAAAAATAAGAGATACCATGCACCATTTGGAACTGTATTTTATATAAAGGTAGTTTTATTCATTTACTATTGTCAAAAGGAGAGTAAAGGCTGAGTGTAATACAGCTGCAATGTTTGTGTCCAGCATCAGTATCTAGACTGCGTCATAGGAAAATCTGGTCAATGCTGGGTAATTAAACCAAGTGAAACTAGTTGTGTATATTTAAAATGAGAGGTACAAATAAGTCATTATATGAACAACGCTGTATTTTATCTTCAATAACTTCTTGTGAGATGGCCTCCGTGTATGTCTCCTGTGTCCAAGGAACTTTAAAGGCCTCAGAAAAGCAAGGATTTTTGGAGGTCGAATGTTTTGTGTTTACCATTCTAGCCATAGGATACAGAGAGTTTATTTCAGAAAGGCCAGTAGGGCCTCTTGCAGGTATCTGCATAGGTTTAAGAACCAGCAGTCAGTGCAAAGTCCAGCATCAGCTTCCATTTGCAACCACCCAGTCTGCCAAGTGGCAATTTTAAACAGACTCCAGGCAACAGGAAGGAAGACTGCATTGTAAACACAGATAAAGTGAATGCCAGCTATTCCCTCTTCTGCAGAAACTATGCAGCTGCTTCCTGGTATCTCCTAGCCATCTCCATCAAACCTCAGAGTCCACCTCAAGTCAGCTGAGAGACTTGGAGCGCAGAGCTAGTGAAGTTGATGCATTTTGCGGTTTCACAAATACAGACCTGAGATCAGGTCCTCTGCCTGTGAGGAGAGATCAGGGAGGTGGTAGAGCTCTCCAAAGGGTCCCCATGTAAGCCTTGGTTTTGTTGCCCTAGGGCTTGAGAGGAGCATGAGCTCAGTCGGTGCTTGTGGGATGGGGCAGCCTGGGCAGTAGCACCAAGGAACCTGACTGATCTTCCAGGACTCAAGTGAGGTTGTGGACAGTTCATTCTGTTTTCTGCCCCTGCCCACTTTCCTGCTCTCTAGAAAACACGTTGCCATTGCCTGAGCTTGTATGAGCTGTTGCCACAACAGAGACTTCAGAAATGTTTTGTTGGCTAAGAGGTTTGATTTACAGAGATCGATGACTTGAATATTGAGCCACTTGTCTATTTTAGCTTAGCATTTGGTTTGTAGATTTTGGTCAATGCTTTCAAGAAAATACCAGGGCTTTTTGTTACTTCTGAGGAAATGCTTAAAATAATAACCATTCCTCTCACCAGCTGGTAAGTGGATTAGTTCAGCAAATTGAGGCTTTCGTTAGGATGACAGTAGGAGTGAATATTTGTCCTCAGTCTCTCTCAATGACCCTCATCTCTAATGTTTCTTTTCTAGAAATTGAAAGAATACTGTATGCATGTTTGATATTGTATTTAGTCTCTGAAGATGGCATCCCAGGTCTGATGTTCAATTAGGGAGTACAGTTCTGTAATCCTTATTTAATTAGAACTCCTTGTCTGACTCCCTGGGAGTTGCGTTTGTAATTGGATTCTCACAAGTGAGAATATGCAGAGGCCACCTCAAAGGAAAGCTATAATTTGCTAATGTGTCTTACTTACCTGTAGTTCTTCGAGAATGTTTCCTCTGCATATTCACATTATGGTTCCTGTCCACATTCTGTTTTTCCTTGGATTTCTGATGCTCTACAGTTGCAGTGTTCAATAAGAATAACTGAAGTATTGAGCACTGTACAACTCTCCAATATCTCTGATCACTTGGTGTCATGAGATGGCACTTGTACAGTCCTAGTAGTCACTGCTCTTCCAGGAGGTTCCTGTAGTTCACCAGCACTGGAGTACCAAAACCCACTGGTGTGAATATGCAAGGACAGCACTCTCAAAGAGCAAGTCATTGGTAAGTAGTCTTTATTTTTTCGTGTGTGTGTGTGATTAACCTAATATTTCCGACGTTGTTTTGTAAATTCTGTATTTACAAATTCACTTGTAGTCCTTATGATAAAAACAACCATCGTTCTGATTTGTGAGATCAATTTTAGAACTGTTATCTTTCAGGCAAAAAAAATAAAAGTATCTGTATTTTTAAGTCTTCGATATGAACTCAGGTCAGTTGTAAATTGATATGTTACTATTAGTGCGTAGGTATGCAAACTGAAGTTTTATATTTCTGTCAGACAAAAAGGCACTGTAACAGTGCTGTATTATATACTTTAAAATAGCACTCTTTTAAAAAAATTGTATTGGATAGCAGTAAGTCATTGATCAAAAAAGTTTTCTAATGGTGTTAACAATATTAATTCTCAAAGCAGATTCTCTTGAAGAACATCAAATGTATGTTGCTTTTAACTTCCAAATTCTTTTCTAAACACTTCTTTTTTTTTTTTTCTCAACCCCCCAGACATGGAATTCTGTGAGACACCCCATATTCTGTGCTCTGGCTACCAAACAGACTTACATGGTGTATCAGAGCACAGCTACCCACTAGAGGTGGGCTCAGACGTGGATACTGAAACCGAAGGTGGAGCATCACCAGATCATGCCCTGAGGATGTGGATGAGGGGGATGAAGTCAGAACACAGCTCCTGTCTGTCAAGCCGGGCCAACTCAGCATTGTCCCTGACTGACACTGACCATGAGAGGAAGTCTGATGGGGAGAATGGTAATAAAGAAATACATCTGACATACTGAATAGAAGTATTATTTCATTGAAACTTTCTTATTCTCCTTTATTGTCCTCTCTTTCTTTTTTCCTCCTTCATCCTTAGATCTCTACTAGATCATCTACTCTTTATTCGAGATAAAATGTTTAAATTGTGTTTATAGTGTAGATGAAAAATAAGGCAAAAAACAAATGAGACTGTGTAGTTCTAGAGAACAATTGCTCTCCTGTATTCTCTATTTTTATGCACTGGGAAGATCATCATTTTAATTTCGTGAACTATGAATTAGGTTCTTAAATCTTTATGTGTACATTTACATCACACATTTTGTGTACAATCCATCCTGTATTTTCTGGTTTTTGAGTGTAGCTTTAAGACTTGAGAGTTAGGCTATATCTGAACAGGTACCTTTATCAGCAGAGCAGACCAAGCTGGTCTCTGTCAGGTCTGGATTCTGTGCATGGAAGTTGAATTTCTCGGTTAGTAGTTCTTTGGTCTTTGTTTTAAGCACTCATTCTCCTTCAGGATCCTTTTACTTATTTGCTTACTTTATGTTTTAGAAAGGGAAAATGTGTATTTAATTGAGTAATGGGGAAAAAAATTCCACTGATTATCTCAAGGCATCAGAATTAATGAAAATCTGCTTAGTTCATATCTCAGTTTGCACATTTAACAGATACATGTAGGAGCTGGATTTGTTGATCCTTGTGTGTCCCTTGCAACTCAGGATACTCTATGATTTTCTTGTAGCTAATGTAGTTAACCAAATGCTAGCTACATTAGTAGTTAAATGTGGTCAATAAGTGGTTTTGTTTGGTTGTTTGTTTTTTTTTAATTGATAAGAGATCAGGGAACCAGTGAAAGTGGCAGATGACACTTCAGTGTTGACAGTGATATGTTTTAGTGGATCTATAGTAATATGAAAAAGGATTCACTCATGAATATCCTTTTTATATTTATAATAGGAATGAATTTAATCAATTTAAACTCATTTCTTACATGATGTAGCATATAGCAGAGTAGTCCTGCACATAGATTTAATATTTGAGTGTTTGTAAGCTTAATAACAAATTTCTAATTAATTCAATTAATTGATTCGTGTTTTAGATGCTTCAATACAAATTTTAAGTAGGAAACTGAGAGAGGAAAGCAAGTGCAAAATTAAGCTGGAAGAGAAATTGAGACCACAAGCTGAAATGAACTTAAGCTTTCTTCAGACAGTGTAGACAGACGGGGTGTCAGTGTTTCTTAGGGAGCTGAGTATTTGTAAGAATAATTAGTCTTGAAAGTTAACGTGGATAAATTTGAAGATGAAGGTGATTGTGAAGTACTACACAGGTTGGTTCATAGTCAAGAGTTCTGACCCAGAGAGCAACTGTTTTCTATCTGGGCTGACTCTCAGTAACTCTCAGCATTCTTAGAGCACAGGCATTCGTAAATCTCTTAGTAAATGAAATAACACGTGACAAATCTTTCTCTTTTTAAGCAGTTATTTGTGCAAAAAGCTTTATTGAAGAGCTGCAAGTGCTGCATTTGTTCCTGTCAATTGCTACCATGGAAGCAGACTTTCTTTATGCCAGCCAGAAACTTCTGTGGTATGGAAATGGTTGAGTACATTGCAAGCCATTAATTCTTGTTTCTTGAAATTCTTTTTTCTGTGATACTGTGCTGTAAAAAAAATAGATTTAGAAATTCTGGCTGCAGAACGGTTGTCCAAATGCCAGGTGGGTACAGCCGATTTGAAACGAGTAAAATTAATGAAGTAATTTACCATTATTGCATTGTTTGAGAAAACTAAGTGCTATTACTCTCTGTATTTTGAAAAGATCTGTTGATTTTTTTGTTGTTGTTGTTGTTGTTTTTTTTTAATCTGTGGGCAAAATTCTGCTGCAAATGCATAGTAGCTTTTTTGTAGAATGCAGAATAGTCAAATGCAATAGACTCACGTAAATCTGTTTTCAGGAAATGCTTTGCTTTACATAGAACTCCAATATATTTCTACAAATGTTATTCTGTTAAGTTATTCCTTGAGTTTGTCCTACCCGTGCAAAGCTCTAGAGAGGTTTCTTGACACATGATATATCTGTACCTGCAGTGCTGTTCAGTGCAAACTAACTTAAAAGGGACAAGCTGCTCATTCACAAATCTGATAAGGGTAAAAGGAGGTAACATGGACTGACTGAAATTCTGGTATCCTTTGAGTGCTAAAACTAATAGAATAAGGTAATTGAATGGTCATTTGCATATTTTGTGCTGCTATTATTGTGCAGACATAACCTGAAGACTGAATAAGTAGAAATTATTCCAGATAAGAAAAAAAAACTCTGGTCTTGCACTACTGCCTTCAGCTTTTTTTCTTTTTTTCTTTTTTTTTTTTTTAATCTATTTGAGTTTATCAAAGAAAGATTTTCTTATTCCAGGGATGGAACGTTGATGGGTTTGTACTTACAACATTCTGGATGGAAATATTTTCAGTGGTACAGAACAATTGTGTTCTGAAGAACAAGTGAACAGACAAAGCACAACCTTTTACTTCAAACCCTTGATCTTTGTGAGGGCAGTTGGTTGAGTGGGTGTAACTCAGAACTCTATCTCAGTAGCTGTAAAAGTGACCTGATTTTTTTTTCAGTGAACCTCTGGTAAACCCTTTCTGTCAGTATTCTGGGTATGTGCCTACTCCATTGACTGCCTGTTACTCTGAGAACCTGTATTCTGGTGTAAAAGGTCAGAAATAACCTTAGAAATTTACATGAGGTAAAGTGGAACCCAAATCTAGTGGAAGAAGATAAGCATAACATATCAGTATTTAACACCGTTAGGAAATTGTAGGTAATGGCTCAAAAAATTCTACTTTTTGGTTTTTGGCTTACATAGCTAACAGTGCCTTCTTACTCCAAGTAACTAATGAAGGTTGTAAATTTTCTCTTGGCTGCACTTTTTTTCATGTCACTATACTTCATCATGTATTCTAACTAGCCAGATTTGAGAATTTATTTGAGGAATGTTTTCCTTCATAGACACACCAACTCTATCATTATCCCTGTTTAAACATACTCTGTTGTTTTGAAAGCATTGAACAGATTGTGTGAAATACCAACATTCCCATTTAAATTAGTGTTGTCAACGCTAATGGCAACTAATAATAGCCTATTAGTGCACAAACTGCCTGAGGCTTTGCCTGAGGCTAAGCAAAATATATATTAATGGCAAGTAATGAACGACCAATTTCTTGGGGATCATTGGTTATCTTGGAATGGTATAAACAGCTCTATTTTAACACTAAAATACTGTGTGGTATGGAAATGTAAATTTTGGACAGAAATGCTACAAAAGAACAATATTAAAAATAGTTACTTACTCCATTGTAGAAGACTGTATAGAATCACAGAGTGGTCTGGGTTCAGAGGGACCTTTATGATCATCTAATTCCAATCCCTCTGCTATAGCCTCAGTTCACTGGAACAATAGTATCTGTCATTGCAGAATATCAGAACATTGAGTTCAGTGATTTAGTCTGCCAGAATACTGAGCTGGCACATCTTGCTTTTCCATTATTTATTTTTTTTTCAAATGTATTTTTCTAGAACAAAATATATAGTGCGGGAAAGAATAAAACCCTGATCTACAAAAAGAGTTGTCTTTGATCATATATCTGAAACTGCTCAAATGACATGAAACTACATCCCTTTCCAGCCAGTTCGCTGATAATGGACTGAAGTCCATTTTGTATCCATGCACTCTTCCCCACTGAATCGTTCATGCCGATCTTGTGTTTTCCCTTACCGATTGCCCGTGCAGTCATGAAGCAGTGTGGTTTACCTCAAGTTCATTCGTGCCACACTGTAATCCATTTCTAAGCCACATTTGACTTATGTGCACACCCACCAACTCTTAGTTTTTGTTACCACATCTCAGCTGAACATTAGTAAGGAACTCCATGATAACGCACTTGTTAACCTGTTTCAGATTTTCAGGCAGTTATAAAGTCCTTTAAAGACTAATTGGTTTTGCTTACTCCTGAAATGGACTTACATGTTCTTTTGCAAGTAGTTACCGTTTCTTTAGTAAGTAGAGGGAACCAGCATAATGCTGGATTCCCGTGCCATGTGAAAGGACTTTCACTTGGATCCAAATTCATGTTCCGTTCCTTTGACTGCCTTATTTTGTGTCAACTTGACTTTAATTCACAATAGCTTCTTTGAGATTTGCAAGCAAGAAATTAAGGTCATACTACAAGCTGAAATACCACTAGATTTATCATGGGGTATAGCTACAGAGTGTTTGAGGCCAGAGGATGTTTTTGTGTGTTTTTTTGTTTTGTTTTGTTTTTTTAAATAACATACTTGTCAACCAAAAATCAGGAAGAAAATGAAATAAAGAAACTCATCTGTTTCCATTTTTTCTACAGAAATTATTGGGAAACCTCTTTCTTAACAGCGGTATCCAGGATCAGATTCTAATTAGAGTAATAAATTTTAATAATATCAATAATTTTAAACAGCCAATTGTGAAGACAAAATATTATTAGCTATATATGAGGAGAAGTAAAGTAAGTGAGAAACAAAGAGCGCTGAAGATGAGGTCTTTGCCCGTGTTCAGACAGTGAACCAGCAATAGTGTCAGATGGTCCCTAATGCTCCATCCTGGGACTAAGTTTCAAACATTTAAATGCATACTTAAAATATAAATCAAGCATAGCTTTACTGGTATCAATACAAATCAATTCTGATGAGACCAGAATTCAGTTCCTCTCTTCTAACCTGGATAAAACACGCTTTCCTTTATAAGTCTGTATTTATTGGGCAACATCGAAGCTGAGTTTAATGGCATAGAAACATATAAGATTAATATTGTGTAATTCACTTAAGTGTTTGTTTTATACCTTGAGAGCAGTGGCCCATTTAATGGAGCTTCTGACTTTGGCTAAATCCTTGAGGATTTGTCACTTTGATTGCTGGGTGGATGTGTCACTTTGGGGCAGATCACCTCAGCAATTTGC